CGTAAGATGCTACGTTGGCATTGAAATACTCAACAGCATCTTGTCGTTGTTGTTCGCTAGGATCTCTGATTTGAATGTTGTACCCAGCAGAGGCCCAACAGCAAGCTATNAACACAAGAAGGTCAGCACGATGTGTTTTGCCACGGGTAAGCCTGTTGGCTCACTCACCAATACGTCTTCCCAGAACACCACCACCGAACACAGCTACTGGTCTGTTGTTATAATTCTGAGGAGGCGTCCACATAGTTGCGAATGATGGCAAGGTTCTATATGAAGAGGTGCGGAGATGTGGATGCAAACAACACAGAAAGTGCCTACCGTATATATGTGTGATGCGCAGATGCTTTCACGTACATTATCTGATCAGGTTGCCTATATTTTCCTACTAACATCCATCAATACGACCGGCGTTGTCGCCATGACGAATGACGTGGTGTTCTAGCAGATCCAGACACGACCGGCAGACATGAGCCGTGAAGGTCGAAGTTCGGGCAACAACGTCTGACTGCAAGCACGTCCATACATGAACTCACAGCTGAATCGTGGTCTCCAGAACAAGGACTTTAAAGGCAGGCATGAAGTCGGATGTTGAGGCAAACGCGGCCAGTCGGGCAATCACACCCGGCTGGCGCATGCACGGACCTTTTCCAATTCACTTCTCATCCACTATCGGTTTCGGACCGAACCTGATCTCCAACCTGACATGGCCCTGAGAACCCTCATTTCGCTATGCTCGCCTCCTTGCGACATTGCGGACTCCAGTGACTAGTCAAGAGCCTATCACAAACACTTTGTTTACGCATGCAATGCCGCTTTGTGCTCCACTCACTGAGTACGACCGTGCCAGCAGGGTGTTTTCGTTGTCGGTGACAGGCAATATAAGAAATCCTGTGCGCCTAGAAGCCCCGTTTGAGACCCTGTCTAATCCCTCTCTTTCCGTCCGAAGCACTTTTCTACACTGTCTTCTTCAAAGATCGTCTATTCATCATGGCAGAAGTCATAGAGTACACCTTGAAAGAGGTCACCGAGCATAACACTGAGAAGAACCTCTGGATCATCATTGATGGCAATGTTTACGACGTCACAAAATACACTCTGGATCACCCTGGCGGTGTGGAATCACTGGTAGAGGTCGCTGGACAAGACGCTACCACAGCATTCGAAGACGTCGGCCATTCAGATGAAGCCAGAGAGATCATGGCTCCCTTCCTTGTCGGAAGATTGGCAGGATTCACAAAGACAGCTCGCAAGCAGGCCGTTCAGATCGTACGCAAGGAACCGACCCCCAGCCAAAGCAACATACCCAGCATGATGACCTTGAGTACGGTCGGAGCTGCAAGTCTGCTTGCTGGTACAGCTACTGCCGTTGCATACAAATTGCAAGGCCGCATTCACATTCCTGGAGCTCACAAATACTTGCAAAAGCTGAACCTCGACAAGCTCAACTTCCTGCAGTCCGACAACGGCTTCCTCAAGGGTTTCCTACTGGCCAGTGTGTTCTCGGCAGCATTGGGTGCGGGATTCGCAAACTACATTTCGAGAATCACAACCATCCCTGGTGGGTTCGGAAGAAGCCCGATGTACAAGCGAGTTCCAAAGTTGCCGCTCAGACACTACGTCGGCTTTCTGAAGAGCACAGAGTTTCAGCCATTGCCCTTGAAATCAAAGAAAATACTTCGTGGAACTGGACTTGTTCGTTTGACCTTCGAACTCCCTACTCCCACGACTAGACTCGGATTGCCAATCGGCCAGCACGTTGCTGTCCAGGCAAAGGTCGGCGAGCAAACAGTCACACGTTCGTACACACCGACTTCGAACGACACTGATCTCGGCGAGCTGGTCCTTCTTATTCGACTTTATGACGAAGGTCTCCTGACTGGTAAATACCTTGCACAGCTCAAGGTCGGCGACCAAGTCCTTTTCCGTGGTCCCAAGGGTGCGATGAAGTACAGGAAAGGCTACGCTAAGAAGATTGGCATGGTAGCTGGTGGCACTGGAATCACTCCCCACTACCAACTGATCAGAAGTATTTGCGAGGACAGAACCGACACCACTGAAGTCTCGCTAGTGTATGCAAACCGCACTGAGGACGATATCCTGCTCAGGTCAGAATTGGATGCGTGGGCCAAGGCATACCCTAAGAATCTCAAGGTACACTACATGCTCGACAATCCACCTGAGGGCTGGCAATACGGTAGTGGCTTTGTCACAAAAGATATTCTCGAGCAATATATGCCCGCTCCCTCGTCTGATGGGTCTTCCAAGATTCTGCTTTGTGGGCCTCCTGGCATGATCAATGCCACGAAGAAGAACTTGATCGAGCTGGGTTGGCAGAAGCCTGGCTCAGTTGGCAAGATGACTGATGACATTTTCACTTTTTAATCGATCATATCTCACAATCAGATCTCAACACCAGAGAGGTACTCAATGTTTCGCGCGTGATGTTGCAGATTCTTCCATATAGTTGCTGCATCTTTCACAGCTCGGTTTTTCCATTCAACCATTCATTAAGAAGGAGCTGCAGTTCCCTTGATTGAAGCATTCAGCGTAGTGACAACGTCAAGCCAGGGTCACCTGACAAAGCACGTAGCAAAGTACTCACGTGAGCCAGCAATTTAAAGTTGACGCTAGCAGATGTCAACACGACCGGAACTTGAAGCTCTGACCATCTCGGGGATCGTACATATCTGGATATCGTTGCGACTCGCAATTGCGCTTCCTGAAACTTTTTGAGAAGTTCTCGCCGGGCCGTTCTCGCAAAAAATGCGACACTCGAACTCGTCATATCGCCCGCCTCGTCACCATTTTGAAAGCGAGCAGAGCAAGAGCCGTGAGCCGGTCGTATACCCTATCTCGAGGAGTCCTTGAAACGTGTTGTAAGCCTAAATTGTTGTCGCAAAGATGCGAGCACTTACTCGCGGCGGTGTATTGTCGCGGCCGAGGTCTCAACACTCTCGCCTACTTCGACCCGCTCGTAATGACATTTTGATGAAGGCCAGTCGCGAACCCCGTCAAAGTGCTTGATGGTCCGTGATGTATTATGGGTCAGCAAATAGGCCATCCGTTCGGAGTGTGTATGCCCAATATATAACATAGTCTCCCTCAATCTTCGAATGCAGCAAAAACCATATTGGTAAACCAAAACGAATATGCCTTCTGTACAGTTCTACCTCCTGGGACAAGACCCCAGCACAGGGCACGAGATCGAAGTCAACTCCAGCGAAGTTTCCGACTATGATTCGCTCCGTCTGTTGGTAGCAGGGCACTTTGCTATTTTGGAACCGAGTGGTAAGATGAATGCTCGCGCGAGAGAATCAGCCACTGAACTTCGACAGNGAATCGACTTCTCAGTAGACAACGACACATTGACTGAAGTATCCGAGGTCATCAACAGCCAACAACCAGTCGCGATCACAATTGATGGCAAGCGAGTCAGAGACGTGCCGGGTCCGAAAGGCTTCCCTTACATCGGCAACTACTACGAGATCTACCCAGACCATCTCGGAAATCACCAGAGACTGTTCGACACATATGGCCCGGTTTTTAAGACAACTAACTTCGGAAGTGTTGTCTACCAAACCAACGATCCTGTGATCGCCAACCACGTATTCAACGAGAATGGATTCTTCACCAAGCAAATCACCCCTGAACATCCGCTCTTCGGTATCATGGATCAAGAAGCAGGCTTGTTCCTTGCCGACACAGACACCGAAGCCTGGAGATTGACGCACAAATTCCTGCCACCAGCTTTCTCGCCAAAGGCAGTCCGTCATTACAGCCCCAAGATGCAACAAACTGTGGAATCAGCATACAAGGTCTTTGATCAACTGGATGAGCAAGGCGATGCTTTCAACGTCTACCTCTACATGCTGAAGCTGGGTTCGCAAGCTGTCGGCCAGCTTACACTCGGCCTTGACTTCAATCATTTATCCTCTGTTTACGCACCGCTTCACAAAATGGTGCGCGACATTGCTGAGCTGCTTGAGTTGAACAAGAAGGTCTCGACCATGGGAGCATGGTACTCGTACCTGCCTTTCGGCGATCCTGCAAAGTTGAGACACGTCAGAAATGGTCTTGAAGAGCAGATGACAGCAGCCATCGCTGCAGTCACTCCTAATGGCGTTGAAGATCTCGAATTGCAAGACGCAGCACTCAAAGCATCGTGTATTGCAGACTATGCAGTACGTGCTGTTGACAACCAAGGCGAGAAGCTACCTGAACGTTACAGAAACCACTCGATCATGGTAGCAACAGCAGCCGGCTTTACAACCACCTCATCACTACTCTCATGGCTTCTCTATGGCTTGGTAACGTATGAAGGCATGCAAGAGCGCCTGTTGCAGGAGCTCATCGATAACGACATCGATGATGACACTGTGTTAGATGCCGACATCATTGGCAAGCTTCCCTTCTTGGACAAATACGTCAAGGAAATGCAGCGCAAACACAACCCATCCTACCAGCCTGGACGTACAGCTCAACACGATCTGATTCTGCCTGGTGGCTACAAGATTCCCAAGGGTGGCATCGTGATTCCCGCGCTTCACCACATCCACAACAACCCCAAGCTGTGGGACAACCCTGCGAGATTCAACCCCGATCGTTGGGACACCGAGGAAGTCAAGAACCGTCACCGCTCCACATATGTCCCCTTCGCTCAAGGTCCTCGTGGCTGCATCGGATTCAACTTTGCACTACTCGAAGTCAAGATCTTTTTGCCCAAGTTGGTGTACCGCTACCATTGGTCAAAGGTTGACGAGGAGGCCGTTGAATATGATCCTTTCTTCCAGCTCATCAGACCCACCAACTTCATGGCACGAGCAGAAAGAAGGGTCAAGTGGCCTGCAAAGTCTACTTAGCGATATGATCTAGAAGGATATATAATCTCTGCATCACTCATTATTACGTATATACGTCATGGTAAAACGTGCTTATCTCGATTCAGAATGTCACAGCTGTCATACGCTTCCTTGGATTTGCTTTCGCACACTCGGCAAACACTACAGCCTGGCTCGGAGCTCCGTTTTCTTTGTTCCTCTCAGAGTCTGGATCTCAGGCATCTCGTTATACTCTGGGGTCGGGAAGTAGCGTGGTCCCAACACCTTCTTCTGTACCTTGCCGGTCCCGCCCTTTGGTAGTTCTCCTTCCACAAGACGCAGCACAGTCGGTAACTTGTAAGCCGCCAGCTTCGATCGCAGGTCGTCTCGCAATTTCTTAAGGGTCAAAGATTTGGTGGAAACGCCGGCAGACGACTTGATGGTGATAGCTGCACCGACCAGTTGGCCGAATTCGTCGTCTTCGACACCTACGACCATTCCTTCGCCAATGTAAGGAAGTGTCAAGAGTTCACGCTCGATATCGATTGCAGAGATCTTGTAGCCGCCTGACTTGATGATGTCGACCGAGGCTCTACCAATAATGGTATAATAGTCTCCGTCCTTGCGAGCAATGTCACCGGTCTTGAACCAGCCATTTTCGTCATGTGCATTGATGGTTGCTTCTTTGTCGCCGAGATATNNCTGTAGATTTTTTTTAGCTAAGATCCAAGTCTTCCCAGCGTTTTTCACTTACTTTGCAAACATGTAGGGAGATTTGACCAACAGCTCGCCCTCATCGCCGTCTGAAAGCTTGATCTCTACTCCAGGCACTGTCATGCCAACACATCCTCTGGGCAATGCTCTGTGATCCATATCGGCTGGTACCTTCAGACAGCCTGGGAACTCGGTCGCGCCGTATCGAGTCAAGATGGGCGAACCATTTCTCAAGCTCGTCCAGAAATCTTGAACACCGTCTTGGAGTGCACTTGACCCACACAAGAAAGCACGGAACTGATTAGCAGCTTTAACATATCGCACCTGATGTTCCAATGGAAGGTTCTGAACTTCACTCTCGAAGTACCACTTGAGCCGCATGAAAATGGTAGGTACGGCGGAGAAGACAGTCAGTCCGCCTTGGAGCCAGCGGTCCCAGACCCATGCTGCGTCGAAGCTTGCTGCGCCTCTGAACTCGATGCATGCGCCTGCGCAGAGGAAAGGGAAGAAAGAAGTTCCGAAACCTGTTGTATGATGTACCGGAAGGACGTGCAAGAGAACATCGTTGTGGTCAATGTCGTAACCTTCACCAATCGCAAGTGCAGTCTCGTGGGTGTAACCACGTCGATGTACGACTCCCTTTGGTCGGCCGGTGGTTCCCGAAGTGAAGATGACGACGCCCGGAGCTCTGTCATCCAGTGGCGAGTCTGATGACATTGAAATGTCTACAGGTGTTCGACGGGGTACCACTGGTAGGTTAGGCAAGATCGGGATGGAGATCAGATGAGGGTTGTTCATCCTGGCCCTTTCTACCACACTCTCTCCTAGTGATTGCGCAGGGACACCTGCAAGTACTGCGACCTGGCTCGACTTGTTGAAAAAATATACCAGCTCATCCACCGGCGCAGAAGGNAACTATGACGATCAGCTTTGACCTTTGAAGTATGCTTCGCCTGACTTACACATAGGAACCACGGCGGCTCCCAAGGCTAGCACTGTCAGGACGGCAACTGTGAACTCCCATCCACCAGCAGCGAGTACACCGATATAGACTTCGTCTCCGCGCTCCAAAGCAAGTATGGTGCTTGGGGTCAAGGAGGCACTGACGACTTCTCGGAATTCCAAGACTGTATCGAGAAGGTCTCCATATGTCTTTTCAAGACCAAGTTGAAGATCTCTAATAGCCAGTCGTTCTCGTCGAGCATGACGGATGAGCTTGCCGAACAATGGACTGTTGGGTAGGACGTTCACTCCTCTGTGAGGTGGCAGCAATGAGTTACGATCGTTTTTCATGTTGACTATCGTAAATTTTCTGGTATTGTTAGACCAAGGTTCGAGAGTGGACTATCTGATTTTATCTTTACCAAAATACTCGATGTGAGGGGGTGATCTAGAGACAGTCCGACAGGTAGAATGCCCCGGACTTTGGTCTCCGTTGATCATGACATATCAAAGATAGGATTCAGGTGAATTCGGCGTTTCGGCAATTTCACCCAGCCTCACAGGTCCCTACTCTTTTTATCTTTTCTTTTCCTACCCCGCTCCATATTCCCTTAGTCCCGAGCCCTTGTTAGACTACCGATCATGTCCACTGCATGTGCTCGCTGAGATTGTTTTCATCCGGAACCCATCCTCGTGCCAATGTCTCGCCCAGCACCCAACTTCACAAATCTTTTTCTCTCTAGAGAAGGCAATATCTTCATTATCACACTCCAACGTGGTTCCGAGAACCGCCTCAATACTACATTATGCAATGAAGTAATCCAAGCCTTTCACTACATCCAACGAAGCCTGGGTACCAACTCCGAAGGCGCAGTCATTACCCGCGGTCACAATGCAAAGTTCTGGTGCACAGGTGTTGATCAAGACGAACGCGACGACAATCCTTTCGCCAATTCTGATGGCTTCTTTCCTATGATACATACGATCCTCGATTTCCCATTTCCTACCGTGGCTTTGTTGACGGGCCACACTTTTGGCGGAGCTTGTCCGTTTGCCCTGAGTCACGATTATCGAGTGATGAATAGTGAGAGAGGGTTCATCTCTATGGTAAGTCTTAGATCAACCAAAAATTTGGTCGAAGTACATATTAACAAAGCTAAAAGCNCGCCTGTCAATCTTGGTATGCACTTCCAAGGCATGGGAACACTTCTGAGCCTGAAGTTGTCCCCGAAGATCGCTTGTAAGATGTTGCTCCAGGCACATAAGTGGACTGGTAAGGAAGCTCTCGCTGATGGTGTGGTTGACGAGATCTCACCACCAGAGGTAATGCTGGACGCTGCGTTGAGGATTGCTCGAGAATGGGCTCCTAGAGCAAAAGCGGGAGTGTATGGAGTCTTGAGGAACGAGCTCTATGGTGAAGCTACCAGAGCGTTCGCGTTGATCAGTCATGTGCATTCGAGAGAGACCAACAGACGAGCATCGGTAAAATTGTAAACTCACGGAAATATGATGTATCTGTTATTATGGCAGCGAACTTCTCAGGTGTTATGGTCTCAATCGTGGGCTGAAATATGGATCGGAGAGTATTGCATGTGGTGGTGACCAGATCAATGATCTGTCATTGAGAAGAGGAGATCTTTGGGGAACATGTGGTGGATCGTAGAGGACATGTGGTCAACTCCAATCCCCTTACTGTACCTGCCCTCTCGTCCCCGTATGCATGAGACTGTTATACTATAGCTGTGGCAATACACGGCATCTTCTGGAATGAAATGTCGTCCAAGGAGAGTAACCATCTCAAGGCCGCTTCTATGGCTACACGTCTAGTTTTATGAGCAACTGTGCATTTCTATACTATAACATACCACCATGTGCTAACCAGGAAGAGGGGCAACTTATTGACATTGACCACGTGTTCTCGATAATTTAGCACATGTTCGCTGAAGGACCCCCATGGTCTCGATTGCGAGTTCGAATACCGCATGTAGTAACTACCAAGTCAATAAGGTGTAACTAAGCAGGGCAATAGAATCCAGAGTTACAACTTGTGTCTCTTTGCTCCAGTCCTGATCTTCTCAAACTCCTTCTGCGGGATGCCCAAAGCCGTTCGCTTAAGCCCTCCAAATAACTCAGCCACCATTGAACTATCTATGTCCCTCCGCATCGCGGCCGTGACTATAGCCTTGGTCTCGATCAAGCTCGAAGCCACGAGATGTCTTCCCATGGTTTCGCGCACATGATCAAGCACGAGTTCTCGAAAACGTTCGTCCTCGCCTTTTCCGCAATCGAATATCTTGTTTATAAAGCCATATGCTTTCAGGTCTTCGGCTGGCAGACGTCGACTGGTCAGCAAAGCTTCGTTCGCCTTTGCCACCCCCATTCTTCTGACGAAGCCGACAGAAGCACCACCCTCGGCGATCAGACCCAGACTGGAGAAGGGCGTGAGCAGATATGTATGTGGCACGCAGTATATGAAGTCCGAGAAGCTCACAAGAGCGGCTGCAATCCCGACTACTGGCCCATTTAGGGCCGTGACCAGAATCTTGGAATGGGAGTAGAACGCTTGTGTGTTGTTGAGGTTGTTGGCGACTGTTTCTCTGAGACCGTGTCGCCAAACGTCTACTCCTGGAGAGGTCTGGCGACTGATGGAAACATCGGCGCCANNCTGTTGTAGACTGTTAAACTATGGATTGAATGCATATTGCTGGATTACCCACGCGCAGAAAAAACGTCCTTTGCCTATGAGTAAAGTCACCAAGACTTCTTCATGGGTCTCAATCTCTCGGAGGCATTGTGATAGGCGGTAGAATCCATCTTTGGGCAGCGAGTTCAACTTCTCTGGACGATTGAGTGTGATGATGGCGACGCGATCTTGGAACTCAAGGGTAACCCACTGCTCCAAGGGCAAATTGCTGGTGTCGGACATCTCTTGACGCTGTGTTGACGGACATTGCTGGGGAAGCTGCGTTAGTAAACCAAGAGGAAACAAGACAATCAACTGTCGTATGTGGATGCCTCGGCATCGGTGTTGCGGTACTCCAGTATGGCGTTTACAGCAACTGCGTCCGCGGCAATTCGGTGTTTCGGCGTTTCCGCTGCAGCGGGCCATCTTTTCCCATAGACCATAAGGCATACACGGAATACAACGACCAAGATATGATGACTCGGAAAGTGCTATGGTCGGTGGGATTATCTTGAGGTGACCTCGCATTTCTTGTCCTTCCAGTCAGACACTGTCATCACCGGCATGGCTTTATCACCCAATACTGATCCCAGTCCATGTTTGGGAGATCGCATAGTGTCGAAAAGAAACCGACTCTCGCGTAGACAGCGAGCGAAAAAAGCATGCACTCACTGCCGAGCTCGTAAAGTCCGCTGTGATATCAACATCCATGGCTGGCCGTGCACAGTCTGCCGAGAAGACTCTTCACAATGCATGGTTGTAGCAAGAAAACGCGTCATACACCGCAAGAAAGCCGTTTCCAGGTCAGTACGTGGCTCCAAGCAAAGATCATGCGTGCGGATGCTGAACAAATTTGACAGTCTAGAACGAAATTCTCCCGATGGTCGGGATCTGTCACTCTTTGACTACAGAGTAAGCCGAGTCCTTTGCAAGGCATGGCGCTCAGCTCAGAAACTGACATGCTCAAGTTTGTGAGGGACGAGAAATTGATTGTAGGAGAATTCGAAGCAAAACTTGCTTCTATGTCTGTCATTGGCGCTCTCGAGGTACATGTGTCGCTATCTCCATTCGGAACGTCACAGTCCGAGAGTGATTCGTCTCCAGCAGAAATCTCATATAGTGAGCAAAGTTTCCAACAATCATCCCTTGGTCACGGTTATGATGACTGGTCTTGTACCAGATCCGGCGATGACAGGAGCGAGGCATTGCTGCTCAATCAACACGAGATTGACCAGCGAGACAGCTACGAGACTCCATTCGTCAAACAGTCCGAATTTGACTATGGAGCAATTGAAGCATATGGTTACACGCTATCAGAAAGCATCGAATTCTGGCGAGATATTGGTATTTGGTCCATTCTCCATGAAGAAGACTGGCCACGGCTAGACTAGAGCTAGAACCTAGCCTCGATTGATCTAGCCATTGAACCTCCAGTCACCCCAAAAGTAGTCCGAGAGATCATCAAACGGAAGATTAAAAAGACCATCATCTGGCAGTAGATTAAGATTCGCAATTGTCGGTTGATTGTTGAGTGTTCCTTGGATAGCTGGGTTTGGTTGTGGCGGCAAAATCTCCGAGAGGTCGAAATCGACATCTTGAGCAGTTCTCTCCGCTTCCAATACGTGCCACATTCTGCAGATGTGTAATGGGAAGCCTTCAAACAACGGCGCTTCCTCGCGGTTGAGGAGCAGTGAAGATCTCTTTGGCGAGATGTTAGCGGACACGGGATGATCAAGAGCTCTCTGAATGACCTTATAAGCTCCTATGGCAGAGCGCCAGCGATTGGATAGTTGCTGAAGCGATACAAGTATGACCTCAAGGTCCTTCTGCGCGGCTGACCAAAGCCCAGGGTATGGTCGGAGTGAGCGTAACACGAGGCCTGAGATGAATCCAAAAGTAGTGAAGGTAGGTGATAGAAGACCAATTAAATCTCGGGCTAGGAAGTCTTCGTAGATGCCCGCCACGAAAGAGGCGGCGAGAACAGCAGCTGGACTGACAGACTCGCTCGTGGCGCTCGACCTGGCCAAGATTATGATGCTCGTAAAGTAAGATACATGTAGTTGTCGTGCCAGAAAGTCGTGGGGACGTGGTTCGTATGACTGTGTATCGACAGAGTACTGTGCTAGATTCAATCTCGGCGGGAGCATACGCGTCCATCTGAACAACGCATTTAGGACTTCTGTGCGTTTACTGCTTGTGATTCGTCTTCTCGCACATGACTGCACGAGGTCCCCCAGAGTGCAACAAACTTCGACATAAGCGATGAACAGCTCTCCGGTCTCCGGTGCGTCAGTAAAATCTTCTAGCGTCGGTGGCGTCACATCAGAGTCTTCCAAGTTTATAGCTCGGGGTCTCCCTCGGGAGACAGAGATGAGAGAATCACGCACCNNTATGGCTGTCAGCGGATGGAGACTAATGTCTAAGATAGCTGGACTCACCACAAGACTCCACCACATCCGCCGTCGTATGGCTCTTTGTGAACCTGGAGATGGCTCTCTATGCAAGCCAATCTGATACGCCAGACCAACTCCTATCTTTAGCCAGTACTCACTTGTATCATGAGAAACGAAAGCAGGACCATCCGGAGTGTACCAATGCAACATTGTAGTGGCCTTGATTACCGTTAATTCATTCTTCTCGTGCCCTACCCAGAACAACGCTTTGGCTCGCTGGTAGAATTCGGCAGGCGAAGCGTAGGCACAGACGGGCGGAGAAGGATTGACCCGGCTGGCAGCTAGAAGAATGGCCTGCGACAGGAGCAGCGAGCTTCGCTGTACATCACGTACAGATGTTTCAGACGGTTCAAGCAAGGGCATCCAAGGGAAGCAATACTGCATGAAAGACTCCAACAAACTTTCATGAAGTGAGCGTGGGGGCATAGAAAAGACATCCCAAAGCTCCAGGGTTTTTTGTTCGATATCAGACAATCCGAGTTGTCGTGACTGGTCATAATCACGAGCGGAAGTCTCGTCTATAGCAGTATCCCCGAAGTGATGTCGTCCAATGTACGTCGAGCTTCTGCCCGTCCTGGGATCCTCTTGAGGTACTGGGCCTATGACGGCAGCACTTGTCTCTGCGACATGCGTTTGCGGTGCTGCTAACTGAGAAGTCTCGTCGAAGGAAGCCTGGCGCTTATCCCAATTGTCTGTTGGCATAGAATCGGCAGTGCCGGAGAGGCTCTCGGGTCGCATACTGGCTGTTTTGCGCTTTTTACGAACCCTTGGCCTACTGGATGTCAGAGGGGCCTTGTGAGTGGACCGCGTCCAGGCTATGTGAACCGATACAGTCTACTCACATGCACTCAGTGCCTGACGTTTCGCATTGCTCGCAAGTGCCACCATCGGCGGGCATTCGGCACTTGATCTTCTTGCTGTTGCAACGCGCGCATGCCTGTATGTAAGACTCTTTCCCCGACATTGATCGATCGCAGCACAAACCCGGCCATCTGTTGGAAATGATGTGCTTCTCCACTAGATCAGATCTTGGAGATGTTTGCCGAAGCCTCTCCGCTTTTGCCGAAGTTTGCCGAAATGCCGCTACGATTGCCGTCGCCTCATGAAATCTCCGTGTCGATAGGCAGTCAGAGTGTAAGTACGAAAATGCACCATACTTTCTGCCACAGAGCGATGATTACGGAGAAGCTGGTCGGTCTAAGTATCTCCGTGGCGAGGTTTCCATATGAGAAGAAACTGTGCATTTCGATAGCTCATGATAACACAGTAAGTTGGTCAGGGAGAAGGATCATAACAAGGACTGTGACCATTCTTTAGTGGATTCTCGACAATCTGCTTGGGTACAGCTTACGCAGAACTTGCTTCGGTAAGTCACCAGATGCCCTAAATGGTAACATATTCCTGCAACGAACATCGAAGGTTTTGTTAAATATGATCATGACACCTACTACGCCTTTCTCCACATCGCAAAGATAGTTCTGTGTTACCCTCGACGTTTCTATTCCACGAAGCGCCAGCCCTTGGGAAGATCATTTGCTTGCTCACTGGCCTCCAGCTGCTTGTTGAGCTTCCTTACATACCATTTGCAACCCAAACAACCCAAGATCCCCATGACAGCACCTGCGATAATTACGGCGCCACCATTCTGATAAAGTGGTTCTTGTTCACGAAGCTATATATACTCGATCAGTATCATGTCATCAGGTGCGAGAAAGAGCACGCCACCTACAAACAAATATGGAGTGAACCAGTGTGATACAGAGGCAATGGAGTTAGTGATAGCCACAACTGCAGCTCGTTTTGCCCTAGGTGTGAAAACATTGGTGGTTTCCCATGGAACATGGATCTGAAGCGTTGTCAGCATAAACCTCCGATGACTGCCATGACACGAATTTCTTACATTCAAGCCCACAAAAGGACCCGCGCACATTCCAAACATGCCTACGTATCTTGCAGCTGGATTTAATGTACCGATGACGATTGCAGTGCCGACGATAGTCATCATGGATGATCCGACAATATGGTAGCAATGTTCTCTATACTTGCCTGCTGACCACGAGATGACCAATGTTGCGATATAGGCAAATACGTAGGGCGGAGCCTGTATCAAGTATGTCATGAGTTTGGAATAGCCCAAAGTCTTTACGATCNNTGGGCGACATTAGCGTGATTTATTGGGGCAAATATTGGCCAGAACTACACTTACTGAAGGGAAAAAGTCTTTCTCGGACAGCGAAACGATGAGCCCGAAATGAAGGACTGTATAGATCCAGGTGAAGGGATCCTTGCAAGCAAGCCAGGTACCTTGCCAAGCTGAGATATCATCGTCTTCGGAGATTCCACCTGACGAAACGAGCATACGGTATTGCGCCATCTGGGCTTGCTCCTCGGTCAGCCATCTCACGTTGTGGTTGTGAGGGAAGTTTGGGATGCAGTAAAATCCTGCCAATCCGACAAAGATACCGACACATCCTTCAATGATGAAGAACCATCTCCAGGCAGATATACCATGAATGCCTTCCATTGTGGTAAGTATTGCGGCTGCGAGAAGACCAGAGAATATGTTGGACGCAATGTTTCCTGCATGCCAGATTGCCATACGCAAAGGTGCCTCCTCTTTTGTGTACCACGAAGAGCTCATCAAGCTAACCATTGGTAGGAAGGGTCCTTCGGCCACTCCAACTGCAATAACCACGAATTAGCTTTTGCCCACACGATGGAATGGCAACTTCGACATACCCAAGAATCGACAAAGAACGAATGACCATCCGCTGCTCATGACAGCCATACACGCCGTGATGGCTGACCAAATGAGGACGTGAACCGGCATCTGAATCTGGGGTCTGCCTCGAGCCAAGTAGATGGTGGCCGGGAGCTGGGATATGATGTAGCCNTGAGACTTGTCAGCACGAGGATTTTTTATCCTCGGATCGAGTGGCTTACCAATGTAGAAGGCACTGATTCCAAGACTGTACGTCGTGTCACTCATTCCAAGATCTGTTTGCATGCCTGCCAGGCGAGCATTGCCAACATTGATGCGATCAAGGTAGCTATACAGTTAGACCGAGAATACAAGTAAAGAATATCCTGACTTACCCCATCAATAACATCAGTGTGGCCTGAAAGAGGGTTGTTAGTCATGGGTCTTGTGGTTCGAAGGAGTTCGAGGATCACATACCACAGGTAAGAATATCCAGTCGAGCTTGCGAAGAAGCCCCTTCTCGATCTTGCAAAGCTCTTCGGGAGACTTGTCGGCGATGAGTGGGTATCGAGTTAGCCACTGAATGTTATGTTCGCTTTGAATACCAACGATCTCGAGGTGTTCTGCAGAAAGATTCTTCTTCTCAAGCCCCTCGGGAGCAACAGTTTGGTGTGGTACAGCCATTGTTCGAGAGGTTGCGTGGTGTAGAAAGGAAAGCTCGGTCGGAATGATCGGACTTGTTGGGACGCTATGTCGATGACAGAGGAAGAGGTCTTATATACCGGGCGTTCTAGAACTGCCCCGTAACTCAATACCCCATGGGGTGTTCTCCACATCAAGCCGGTGAGAAGGTTGTTGAGGAGCTGAGAATGTTGCAAAGGCATTTCGGCGTTTCGGCATTGGGTACTTGGCCAGGTACAACCGAAGGTACTTGCTCGTCCATGTCCACAAGCTCTTCCCAAAGGGACCACAGCAATACCGATATCACTCAAGGCATTCTTCAGAGAAGTTGGGTTCAGAGAATTCTGACAACGCTACGGCGAAACAAACAGAAGACGACTTGGCCAGCCGGGGTTTGCGTTGCACGATGAGGCTTCACTACAGGGTACATCTATGAGCCGAATCACAAAGATCGTGAGGTCTGGAGTGTCTGGTGCTGATAGTTGGTACACACAAGTGTTTGTTACCTAAAAGATGAGGCTTCCAAGGTCTGTCAGTGCCCAAGTATCTGCACGCTTGCGATGAGGGAAGGGGTTTGTTCATTACACAAGGCACTCGGCGCGTTCATGGCGAGCTTTCGCAATTATCAAGCGCCGATACAGTCTACTTAGACGCTCTGGTCACGGAATCCTACTTGATTGTGGTCTTGATCAGAATATTCATCTTATGTGAAAAACTAGCAAGTCCGTGGCTCAAAGGATCAGACAAAGGCGTCGGTGAAGCTCTCAGGAAAGAATCGGAAGATCATCATTGCCAAGCCAGTCGCCGAGTGACATGTCTGCCAGGTTTTGCTTGAACGTCTCTCACGCTTACTTACACCACACATCCCTAGTCAGGAACTCTGTCAAGAAGATGAGGAATTGGCACCGAAAGCGCTTGAGTCTGTCTCTTTGATAGATGGACTTCCTCAGTCCACCAACAATGTAAGCCGCAGTCGCACAAGCCCCCCTCCTGTAAGCGCGCGTTTCAAGTCATTATGATCGCACGTTACATCGCGACACTTTTGCAAGATTGGACAGTCCAGAACCGTCCGTCTCGTCTGCGTCTCTACACTGCATGAGCACTGAACGCTCCAGCAATCACGGGATGATCGCGTCTCCTTCAATATACCTGACTACCAAGTCCAACCTGACGTGAGATGGAGAGCTGCTCGAAGGCATCAACGCTGCTGCAGTTAAAAGACACGCTCGCGATGCTACATCTTTCGAAAGACCTTTGAAGTTGTCCTTCCCAAACGGCAGTATCTCGGCCGCATGCTACCTATTGGTTGAAAGAGTGGAAAGCAAAACATCAGATCACAGTACAACATGACTGATCTCCACGATCAAATACAAGGGCTTTAGACAATCGTCAGGACGTAATGGGTGGTTCGAGGTTTTAATCAACATGATATAAATGTCAATCTTGGCGATGAACCAAAGTCTGGCTGCGTTATTGATAGCCAGTGAGGACTATGTGGTGTATAGTTGCTCAAGAAGGCTGTTCTGTGTGACCAACAAGGTGGTGCATACAACAGTGACCTGATAATTGAACAATCCTTCAGGATTTACTGCGCCACATGGATCAGCAGGTAGCCTGATCCGGTTGCCTGCGACAATTCGATTATGAGTTGGGTGCCAGGCTGAGCAGGATGATTTTCACGAAGGAATGCTTGGCTGAGGCCTAAAGCAGGCTGTCGCAGTTGCCAATGCTTGTCTGAATTTATTCCCGTACTCGCAAGTCGACACACATATAAGAACTCTGACCCTTCCGATCGAAAGATCACCATTTGCTTGTAAGCAACCTGATCAATCTTCAAACAACATTGTCAACTTTGACTCACACAAAGAACAAGAACCCTGCACCTTCATTCCTAGACCCAAGGACAACCAAGCCGAACCCTTCAGCAAAGAGCATTTCATCAAAGCGACTATAGCTCATCGGCCTCGAGTTGAACACCCAAACATCGAAAACTTCAACACCATTCACCATGTCTAAGACAGAGGTCCCACCCCCTTACCCAACAGCAGCCACTCCCAGCGTCCAGCACGTCACACCACTCGGATCCCTCTCCAGCACGCCAGCAAAGGTCGATTGCCCTGTCTGCCAAGCACCAACAACAACAAAGATATCCAAAGAGGTTGGAGAGAGAGCCTACATCTGGGGCGCTGTCTTGTGTGTCCTGACTGGATGCCTGTGCTGGATTCCATGTGTCATGGACGATTGCAAGGATACGCATCATACTTGTAGTCACTGTGGGCGTCCACTAGCCACTGTTGCTGCGAATGGAGGTGTCAAGATTTCGCCCAGCGCTGCTGCCGTGCCCTCGCAGTACGAAAGGCGAAACGAGACCATGACAGCCGCACCATGAGGACCGCTACGAATCTTGATGGAAATTGATACAGACGCAACACAGAACGCGTATTGTTGACTGTTCTCTGTGGTCGACTTTGCGAGCAAAACGGAAGTGCGAAAGGACATGGAGTTAGGTCAAGCATATGATTGCTCCGGCGTGGCTCATACAAATTGACGAGCCAGAGGGCTATTCAGCCTCGACTCGAAGCTTGGAAGGCCAGAAGTGTCAGTTCGCTCAGCAAATGCAATAGTCAGTCCAACCTCGTTCGATAGTGCCCATCTTCTCATGATTGTGATGATGTTTCTTCAACGTTGCGTTTTGGCGTGGCGTCAGCGCCATCCATACCAGTTGGAATTCGCTCATGGTATCTGCAATCCCCTGTAAAAGTGTCTGTCAAGCCCGAACATTCTCGTCATGAAGTGGTGGTTGTCAACTTGTGCTTGTGCTGTGCTAATTACACCTTGTTCTACAATCCGATTTACTAATCTGGGCGGCCCGGGCCGCATGCCCAATCCAGATCTAGCATCTGTCGATAAATCTTGAGCAACGTTCGAAATGGTTTCTTTTTGCAAAGCACAGCAAACTATTCTCTCTACATTTCCAACACACTAACAATCATGTCAACAAAAGAAGCACAAGATCAATTAAAGCGTGAAGGCGAAGGCGCCCTGTCTACTTCCGAATACTGGGACAAGCGCTACGCGCAAGCCGATGGCGAAAATGCGACACACGAATGGTTCCGCTCTTTCTCTGCTTTGCTGCCGTTCTTACAAAGCAATCTCTTCGATGCGCGACCTGTAGAGCAGAAGCCCAAAATTTTGCATTTGGGTAGTGGTGATAGCGTGAGTGAATCACACAAGGAAGATGTAAGTCGAAGCGATGCTGATGCATGGACAGNNACGATTCCTTATGATCTTTCTGCACGAGGATACAAGGACCAGCTTTGTGTGGACTTCTCGCATAAAGTTGTCGATGTCATGTCAGCCAAAGAAGACGATGGTATTACGTGGGGTTGGGCCGATATCCGCGATATGCCTCAACATAGCAGCAAGAGTATCGATGTTGCGTTCGACAAGGGCACTATGGATGCCATGATTCACGGCAGTCCTTGGTCTCCTCCTGATGATGTAAAGGACAATACATCACGGTACTTGACAGAAGCAAGTGACAGACTCCATGCACGTAATAGAGCAAAGTTTCTAACAAACGGCAGGNTCCATCGCATCTTGAAAGACGACGGAGTATTCCTCTATATCACATTCCGACAGCCGCATTTCATTCGTCCGCTATTGAGCGTCGACAATCTCTGGAGCCTCAAGATGGAAACCTTGTCAGCCGGCGAGAGCTCTTTTGACTACTATGGCTGGGTACTTACAAAGAATACTGCTGCATCCGCATAAATTTAGAATAAACTGACCATGTTTATATATACCTGTATGTGATTTATATAGCACTCAGTAGATCACAAACACATAGTCATCACATTCCAAACCACAGCAAAATCAAAAGGCGCGAGGGATCATATTGTAAGACAAAGAAAAGATCAGTATATTCATGACAAACCCAATCTATCAAATCCACAGACACCTTTTCTAGATCGACATGTTCTCCCTAAACCACTCATATCCACAATCAGAAATGAAAAGAAGAAGACCAACAAATCCAGCAACATCGGGAACATCACCAATAGGGCCAGAAGAGTGATCAAGACAAACACAAGAGATGGTCTTGCAGATCAGGATCATAAGGATGATGTAGATGGTGAAAGCCTGGTTGAAAGTGATGGAAGACATGGTTTTTTGTGTTCGTGTGAAAAAAAGCTCGATGTGAATGATGGACTGAGATTGATAAGGTCGAGACGGGGCAATATATCGACATACAGGGTCGACTTGGAGAAAAAGAAGAGACGGAAGAGTGCAATGAGGTTTTCAAGTGATCGAGGAACCTCAAAGGTAAGGACGACGATTACACAATGGACAAAGACCAAGTAACAAGAATCACGGCCACAAAGGCTTTTCAAAGCACATGTGCTAAATTGTAGAGAACATGTGGTCAATTCCGACAAGTAGCCACTCTTCCCAGTCATCAGATGGTGCTATCGCATGCTATAGAGATACACAATTGTTGATAGGATCAGAAGTGTGACCATGGAAACAGCCTCAAATTGTTCACTTTTATCACCCCCTCACTCTCACTTACCCACTTCCAACATTCATATTAGAGTAGACTTGTCCCTAATCTCAGAATTCGGTTCTGTGGCTCACACAGTCAACCACTCGATGGAAAACTGGGCATAAATAGAATCCAGAGGTGGTGAGTTCGACTCTCACGTAAAGCCTTGGTTGGTCGCAACTGCTTTCCCCCAAGTTGATGCTTGGTTTTTTTGCCTTTTGCTTGATTGAGACTCTTCTAGACTAGGCAGAAATGTGGTGGATGAGCATGTACAAGATACATGCAGAGAAACATAGTGGGATCTTTTGGGTTTGTATACGAGTTTGACTCTAGTTTTGCTGGTGTAGTTGTTCCATCATCAAGCCTTTTACGCACAAAGCCCGGATCAGACTTCCAGACCATCAGTCTCGGCTCCTTGTCTATCGACTTCTGTGCCAGTGACACCGTACACGCGAATAGGCACAGCGACCTCGAAAGTCTCGGCGACGAGCCGCTCCTTTGCGATCTTCACGACACCTCTCTCATCCCTTCCCACCTCTTCCAACAAGTCATCTTCCTTGGCTTCTGCCAGTGCAAGCTCTTCTTCACTACCACCAGCACCAACCTCGTCGTCTTGGATGCCCAACCCACGAGCTGCTTTTGGTCGTACTCGAGTTGTGACAAACTCAATTCGTACCTTCCAATCTAGTTGCACGCCTGTGGTCTCGAATGTGGGCGTGGCTGTGGTGGGAATCTCGAGTCTGAAAGACACCTTGCGAGCAAAGAGTACATTCTCGCTAACATGCGCATGTGTTTTCCTCGTTGCCCGCTGCACGGAAGATGACGATCTCAGTGCTAGGTTTGGGTCTACACGTTCGGTTGTTTCCAGCCATATATTGATTCCATAGCTTGGGATCTGGTCTGTGACTAATTCGGTTTCTGGCGTGGGTGGACTGAAGTCGATAACGCCGGTGATAGTCTCGCCCAGACGATAGGCTGGCCGTACAATGGTGATGATGGCGACAAGCTGGCCGCCTCGAGCAATGGTGAAGCGATTGCTAGATTGTGTGAGTTGGTCTGATGACCCGGAAGAGATGTTGGACCTTAGAATGGCCATGTCTATCGCTTCTTTCATATTGTTTGGTGTGATGTCTTCCAAGGAGGACCGTCTGCGTGATGGCTTCTCGGCGGTGGGTGATAACAGTGCACCAGATTCAGAATCAGGTTGTGCTAACAATTGATCCGTATATGAGAGGAAATCATCCAGCAGATTGGATGATACTCTTCTCTCCGAGAGTGACTTTGCCGAAGAAAATTGTGGCTTCGAGCCGCTGAGAGCGATGCTTTGGCTTCTAGCCTTGTCGCTCAGCAGTATATAAGGGGACATCAAGTCATGGCCCAGAGTCTCTCCTCGATCTNNAAGCTCGTCAGAACGATGAAAAGTACAGCGAGGTAGACACAACTTACTGTTGACACTTCCGAGCACACGGAACGGGATTTCTATGTGCTTGACCTGTTGCTTCCCTCCAGGCCTCTGGATTCCCAGAGTCAGATGATACTGTACCTTGATAGCACGACCTTTGTGAGAGGGTGGTAGCCCCCGTGGCAGGCGGAATCGATACGAGTAACTCTTGGTCTCGCCCGGAGCCAGCCGCAAATCGACAAAGAGAATTGATTGAGGCGTGCTGAGCAGTGGGATGGTCTTCGAGCTTGCAACACTTCGCATCTCTTTGATACTGCTCATCTCACCACCACTCAGGAGACCACCTAGACTCTCGCCTATGTTGCCCCAGCCAAAGCCAAACATACCACTCTCACGCTTTGATTTTTCCACACCTACGACGCCACCACCGCCTTGGCCACCAACGACACCTTTCCGTTTGACATCCTCGAATGGGGCCTGGTTTACTAATGAGCCATCAAGAATGAACGAGCCCATAGTCTGGACATAACCCATCATCAACGTCTCAGGGTCTTTGTTTCTAGGCATGCTGGTTGGGGGACTNTGTTGATTGCGTCCATTCATTGGTTTCGGGAGTATTCTACTCGTTGCAGGCAGGGCAGCATCCGAAGAGACAGTCTCGGATGAGTGGTTTGTTAGAGAATAGAAGTCGCTGCTGGTACGGGGAGTATCGTTGGCACCAGATTCGGATATGATGCGCGAAAGCGGGTTGGCGTACGAGGGCGCGTCCGGAAGTTTGGGAGATGGGAGATGGTGTGGTCTCTGCGGCGGAGCAGGACTTCTTATCGGAAACTGAAATTCGGGCATGGGAGAGCGATCGAGCGCGGGAGAGCCCCTTCTCGAGGCACCAGGAGATTCCGGAGGAAAGGAGAAGTTGGGAGGAGGAAACGAGGCAGAAGAGGCCGAGGGATGTCGCGGCGGAGGCATCATGTGGGAGGTCGAAGGAGGTCTCTGGGGAGAGGTGTTCGTCGCATGAGGAGGTTGAGCGGAGGTGGGCGAGGGGAAGTTGAAGGCAGGAGTGCCAGGGGCGGTACGGATGCCCGACGTACGACGCGTCAGCGGAGGGTGGTGTTCTTGCAGTGGCGATGGATTCCTGTAGGAGCTAAAGGCCAAGGATGGGGCTTGGTAAGAAGGCGTGCGCGACAGGACCTGCATGCTAGCCGAACGACCGTGGCCACGGGCAGGGGGACGGCGTGGGCTCATGGGGTTGGTCACGGCAGGCTTGTCACTACCCATGGATATGATGGACAGCGAGCGTCCATGAGCGGGAGCATGGCGTGTGCTTGGAGCGGTCGCGTTGCTGGCGGCATGGCTGGGAAGTCTTTGATGGGTGCTTGACGGCGGAGGGTAGACAGACAAGGAGAGAGTGGGTCGATGTGACGGCGCGCGGGAGCCAGCTACGGATGGAGCGACCGACGGGGCAGTCGACAGCTGCTGTGTCGATTGCGTGACGGTGCGCTGTCTATTCTTCGCCCTCGTCGTGTGGTCGTCAGGAGCTTGCTGGTCGCCGTCGTCGCATGTGTTCCTGAAGCTGATGATGCATTCAATCTCCTCGCCGGCAAACACGCTGCTTTCCTTCCACTGCACGTACGCGCGCACTTTGCTCCGGGACGCCATGCCTCATGCTGCTGAGCTGTCAGCACGAGAAACCATATGTCGATGCCTTTGTTTAATTTAGGTCCATCATGACATGTTGATCATCTCTCCACATTCACCATCTTGACCCCCTTATCTCCGTCTCTTCTCCGTCATCTATAACAGCAACGTTGTTTGTCGTGATCATTGATGATGCCTATGAACAACTACTATAGTCTTGTACACCAGTCCCGGCCATGTGCCACCTGCCATCCACACAAGCCTGTCTCTACCGCCATACCCAAAAAGCCTGCGATGCAAATTCCACCCGAATCCGATACTGACGTTGCGCCCAAACTGAACTCCCTATCACTCTCTGCCACTTCTTCTCCGATTCGACGGAAGGTGCTGACGTAGACGATTCCTCCGAGTAATCCTTCCCAGAAGGTAATGATGAAGACAAACCAAATGTTTGGCAAGAATGGAAACATGGCATGCGTCGCCAATATGGCCAGATTGAGGCACTGTAGGAACGAAGGAAGGTACAATGCATGGATCCTAACGAAGGGCAACGAAGAGCGCGATATGAAGACGCCCAGTTGGTAGATGGCATTGTAAGTTGGGTAGAAGGAGCGGTAGTGTTCAAAGGGTGTCTGGTCAAGGGGGAACAGCAGTGTAGGCGCGACACCTTGGTTGATGGTATACTCGGCCACGTATACGAGAAGCAGAGGCAGCATGCTATGGGAAAGAAACAGCGTTCAGCTTACCGTTCTTGATGAGGACTACTGGTCGGTTGCAACTCACTAGGGAAGGAAGAGGCTTTTGGCTCTTAGGAATCTAACCTTGAGACTGTGCCATGTATTTGTGGATTGAGGTCCCTGGCTGAGTTTGGGCGAAGAGGGCGGATGGGCATCGTCGACAGCATCATTCAGTAGTGACTCGGTGTCTGGGCCTAGATCGTCTTGGGCTGCTGCGGTATAGTCGTGGGTTTTGGGCTTGGCCGGGAGCAGAACAAAGAAGCTGAACAGCATGATGACTGGCAGGAAGGAGAAGGCTAGCAGGCTGGTTCGGACACTGAGGCCTAGGGCAGAGGTGGCCAGAACGTATGCGCCTGAGCCGACCAAGCCTGCACCACCAGTTCCCGAGCCCCAGGCAGCCAGACTGAAGGGGCCGTAGAAGTGGGTGAGGCCGAGGAAGCTGAGTTCACCTCCT